AAAAGAAAAATAGTCGCTTGGACAAAGAAATCTAAATACAGAAAAATAAAAATCTTGCTCTACTTATAACTTTGAAAATGAAATCAAAGTGATACATCTAGATTTCACGTACTTTCCTGTTAATGAAAAATATAAATGATTATGCTGAGTTCTTTGATTATTTTATAGTAAACTGGTAAAGCATATATAATTCAAAATGTAATATAGTGTTGATGTAAAAACTAATTATTTGTTCAAAAGGTTTTGGAATAAATAGAATAAAATCAGTATACTTAAAAACAAATTCAAATTGAAGGAGACATATTTAAAAGAAAATTACATTGCATGATGCTAATTGAAAACTAACAATTATTTCATGAGATTTAAGCGATAGTTGAAGTAATGATTATAATGTGACTTATAGCAGTAGTAGAAATCTAAAATAGGGAACTAAAAGTTTAGAAATGTTTGATAAATAGTAGTATCTAACTAAAAAAAACTCTGATTTGTAATAATACACAAGATTTTCATTGATAATTATATTCTTTAACAAATCTTTCAATGTTTTGGCGTCTTTAAAAATATAAGTTTCTCTTTCATAATTATTTTATATTCATTAATTCCTAAACTGTTAAAATGTATGTAACAGATGAAAAGATATTGTGGCACCTTTGATAAAATAGTGTTGTTCATCAATATTTTTTCTCAGTCGGAAATTGATGAAATCCACATGAAACAGCTTGTTTCTTTTTGTAATTATTTACGTTATAAAAACTTTTTTAATCTTTTTGTGCAATTTAGGAATGAATGATTCTTTCTTGCATTCATCCATTTATATATGAATCTCTTACATGAGCTATGATTCGATGTGAATTATTCATATTATGCAACTGGAAGCCTTTATATGGATTCATAATGTGTTTCTATACATTAAGTCGACATCACAACATCGAATATTCTTGGAAATTTCTCGATTACATGTGAACAACTTCAGTTTTCACTTGAAAAACTCGATTTAATAACTTTTCTTTCTATTATATAAATTGTCATGAAACTAAATTATTTTATTATTATTATTTGTGTTTAAAATATTTTTCTCACTTTTCTACACACCAAAGCGCTCTTTTTTGAGCGGGAAGAAATTGTGGACGGCACAACTAAATATTTTTATTTCTCATACGTCATTTTAATAATAACTGAATTTGCACTTGTCAGGTATTTTTTTTTGTATATTTTTTCTTTATATAATGACTTCTCATTGTTTTGTATGAAAAGTGAATGAACACTACTATTAACCATCTTCGATACTTTTTTATAGATCCAACTTTGACTAACAGGAAAAATGTGAAAGAGAGTTCTACTTTCACATACTATCATTTTTGATAAATGTATTTTTCAACATTTTTACTTACGGTAAAGTTTCGAAAATACTTAGAAAAATTTCTAGTAAACCGTCATATTCCAAATCTTACGGTTACAAACAGATATGATAATACTAGTGATTAAGTTAGAATCTTCTACGACCAGGATAAAGTATTTGTAGGGACAATAGATATTTAATATTCTTTCAGAAAATGCTATGATAAGTTTTTATACAAGATTTCATAAATATTCATATAGCTCATTGCTCTAAAAAGAAAGGATAGGAAAGAAAAGATAATATATATGCATAAATGAAGAAAAAGATAACCTCTGTCGGACTCTAACTGACACGTACTGCTATCCGGACCGATGCTCTAGGCCAGTTATACTACCATATGAGGGTGTGGGTGTCCCTTCGTCACTCGCACTCACCCACCCACACCTTTGGTTGGCAGATGCGATTCAATATTTGCTTGATTTTCGACTGTATTTCTCTCTTGTAGCATTTTTCTTCTTACAATAAATTAAAGCAAGCTTTACAGCTATCCCGAAACGTAGTGCTCAAAGTCAGCATTGTCGAACGGCCATACTCAAAGAGAATAGGTTCTTGAAAAATAATTGCAATATTCAGTTTTGTAATGATGATTTGGAAGCGTCTTTATGTATCGCTCGGCAAGTTCAATTTGTACGAAACCGATAACTCTTTAACAGTCAATGATCAATTATTAGCAACTCGATTGTTCATTATTCTTCTGAATATCTCAGTTATCACTGTCACGTTGTTTGGTACGTTGAGAATGCAAACACACGTCGTAAGTGTCACATCACCTTCGCTCAATCAATTTGAACATCTGAACGATGAGTATGCGAATACTCTCGTTTGTCCTTGTTCACAAACCAATATTCGCTATGATCAGTTTATGTCATTCGATCCGCGTTATCATCAAGTGTGTTCAAGCCAATTTATCTCTCAACAATTCATTTCAACACTATTCAACATCAATATGTCTAGATTTCATCCGTTAGATTTTCGCCTGATGGCAATGTCCCAGTTTCAGATTTTGACATTGTTATGCCAAACAGCAGTATGGACTATTGGTAGTGATCTCAATCAATTTCTGACTCAACAACTGGCTACCAGTCAAGCTGTATCACGTGAGGTATTCGAGGCTCAAGTTGTAGCACTTGTCGAACAAATGCAAACCACAACAGTAGCAAATGTGAAATACACCGATCAGCTAGTATCCCTGGTTATTCTCAACAGTGGAATTATGTCAGCTTTGAATACCAACTCTTACCTCATCAATAATCCATTAGTGTTGAATTACAACATTCTACATGGAAACTATCCGGTTGGAAATTATATTATCAGCAACGCGTCGAATCTGAATAACATCTATTGCACTTGCGCATACCAGTCAAACTGTACTTTTCAAGCTGGTTATTACAACTACTCGATTCGTCCAGGAATCAATGACAACTCCGTATATCAGCCCTCGCCACCACCTATGTTTATTGTGCCAGGTATGTTGGTTGGATGCTTGCCTCATGATGCAATGCTTCTGTCGACACTGGAATGTTTCTACAATCGTTCATGTCTCGATCTCATTGGTGTCTCACAAGCGATCATCCCACTCAACGTGACTGCTCCATCTCGCTTTCGAGTCAATACAACCGTAAATACGATGTTCGAACAACGCTTCGTTGAAACGTGTCAAAATTCGAGTAATTTCACTAGTTACTACAATGCATGCCATCCAAAAGCGTGTTCCTACAACTATGCACAACGTGGTAATTTTCTTTATGCACTGACGATTCTGGTCAGCCTCATTGGTGGTCTTACAACAATACTCGGTATTTTTGTGCCTCTTCTCGTACAATTCTTTCGTCATTTACTAGCTAAATGCCGAGGTGAAGCAATTCCTACAATAGAGAATAATCCTGAAGGTAGGTGGCTTTTTTTACTTTTTCTAATTTATTTCACATTTATGTAATGATATTGAGAATTGGTTTGATTTACTGTATTTTTGAATAAGAAACCGTGAGATTATTGAATTGTTTGAAAGACGACATGTTGTTTGTTCAGATATTGACTTTCTCTATAAATGACAGAAGATGAAAACTGTTTAAACTGTTTCAGCACCAAGCATCGGAGAACGCCTTCTGATCCTCGTCCGTCAAATTCGTCAACTAATCAGCACATTTAACATTTTTGAAACTTCCTTTTCTACCGTGAATCTAGGAATTCAAACAACGCGTCTCTATATTTTTCTGACATTTATGGGTGCATTCATTCTCTTCAGTTATTCAATGTTGGGTGTAACTACGATCAGTGTTACCATACAACAGCCTTCTTTGGATACCTTCGAAAAACTGTACTCTCGATATTCATCGACACTCGTATGTCCTTGCACTCGTCTTTCTGTAACCTATAGTGAGATAATGACTGTTACGCCTCATTTTCATCAAGTTTGCTCAAGTGATTTTATCCGAGATGATCGCTGGTTACTCTATTTCCAAAGGACGGTAATCTACATAACAAATGTTTCGAACAGTATTTCGTTCAATACTGGTGATTTTCGTTTTACTACCGGTTCAAGTCTATTTAATCTAATGAAAACACTGTGTAACACAGCCAACACAACTGTTATCAATGCCGCAACTGTTTTCGGCGCCACAAAACTTGTGAATGTGTATCTGATGTCACATGTATTATTCGAAAATAAGACGACCGAACTGGCACGACAATTTCAACAAGAAACACAAGCTTCTTTTCTGATTCTATTCTCTCAACTAAACAGGGCAATTCGAGATAATCAGTTCTACAACTCCGGAACCAATGCAGCTGGTTTAGTCGCCACGGCCGATCGTGCAAAAGTTTGGTTGCAGATGGAAAACATATATCCTTCTGGATCTAACTGCTCATGCGCTATATCCAGCAATTGTACTCGACCGCTAGGATTTTATTGCAGTACTAGCTCATGCCATGCTCTCAACGCACAACCAAACATCACTGTACCACGTATGTATGAGAGCTGTACACCCATAGACTCGTTACTACTCTCAACACTTACCTGTCTCTTCAACCAATCATGTATTCAACTTCTACTCGACTGGCGTTTATTTGATTCTCCTGGCGGGACGCAGCCGATCGATCCACGTGGAGCCAACACTACAGCACTTGATCCAGATTTACCCAGTCAGTTTCTGCCCAATTCCACATTTGAACCACTAGTATTCAACATGTTTATCGAAAACTGGACATTATCCAATAATTACAGCACCTACTATACCACTTGCAATCCTGATAGTTGCACATACACATACGATCAACAATATGCTTTTATTGCTGCCATTACAGTTCTCATTGGTTTATTGGGTGGGCTTAGTGTTGCACTACGATTGATTCTGCCACCATGTGTAAAACTGGTTGTGGGTATTTTTCATCGTTGCAAAGGCGTCGATAGATTAGGTAAGCTTATATATTTATTATCGATACACTTTAATCTGTATCTCATTGTACGAGAAGCGAAACAGATGTTTTTTTTAGACTCTTATTCTTGGAATAATGATAATTATCGTCATCCTGTTAATTTTGAGAATGACAGTAGTTTTTATCGTCGATTGTTACCGATCTTTAATATAGATCCATATGAGTGTAGCGAATATAAATCTGTTTTCGTGGAAATGAGCTATCTCTGTGATTGTTGCAAAGATACAAGTATTTCTTCGATTTTACTACAGAAGATCTTTCGTTGTTCAATAGTAAACGGCAGAAAATATGATCTAGACTTTTTCTACTATATAGTTTAGTAACTAAGATCAGTTGTTCTCAATTTCGATGTAATCAATGGCTAACATTTATGACATATTTCACTATTACTGCATGACTAGAAAAAGTTTATACATGCTTCTAGCTATGAAAGCCTTCCTGAGGACTAGTGCATGTTTATTTTGCTCTCTTTCAAACGTTTTTTGCCTGCAAAACTTCTGAATTCGAGAGTAGCTACAAATAGGAGAAATTGAATACAGCATATTCTATTCATGTTTA